ATACCTGGACCCGCAAATCATTAGCATGGGAAAGGGGCCGCTGACTCAAAAACAAAGAGCCGCCGGCCTTTGATACCAAATGGTTTCGACCCGGTTAAACTCCTCTACTTCGTACCATGCAAATTTTTCAGTCGGCAAAAGAGTGACGGATGACGAACGATTCAACTTCCAAGAATCACATCAAATCAAAAAGAATATTAAAAAAATAAGTAAATTAAATACGATTTTTTGATTCAATTATTTTATCTTTGGCAGATTTTTATCATTATCATGTCTAATGTCTAACTAGAAAATGATGTAGTTATTAGCTTTTAGAATTATGTGAAGATATTTCCAAGATTTTTGATAACGTTTAACCTTTCCAGGTTATTTTTATACATAAATTTAACAACAAAAACGTTACTTTCTGCCACTCCACAGCAATGAGAACAGCATCTCCAGTCATCCACCAACCTAAATATCAATAAGAGCAGAAAATGCTAGATCTTTGAGATTTACACTCTCGAACAATGTAATCCTTAAACCATACAAGATTACACTTTTTTATCACAGCCACAACATCTTTAACATCTCTAAGTAGCTTGGTACTCTTGGGTTAGCTAACAACTTACGAATAACTATAAAACAAATCACTAAGATATTACAAGGACAAGACGACAGGTTGGGTGGCATTGGGTAGGGTGTGGCAAGTGTTTAGTTGAAGCAAATGTCTACGAAAGTAGTGATATTAGACACCAAATGCAGTACAAGAAACCTGTAAAGCAAACCAGAAAACAGTTTCGGTTTAATTTGAATTTTTCTGGTTTCTTTCTGCCATAACCATTAAAGAAGCCAAAGATAAAATAAAAGCCTGAAAGGACCCAATATAAATAGGAAAAATGGCAAAAAATGTCAAAATGAACTATGGCTAATAAATAAATCACAGTATCTTACAAATTTTCTTAAATTTGACACAAAAAAAGCTCTCTGGTATTAATAGCCCGATCAAAATCTTTATTCTCTTTGAAAACCAAATCTTACTTAAGCCCATAATTAGCTTGTAATAGCTAATAAAATCAGAGATTACGTGTTTGTTAACTTTATTCTCAAAAGACATCAAATTCAATTCTATAATACTTGATATTTGGAAATTTGGTATAGTAGACCTTTCTTTCTAAACACAAAAAGTTTCATTTCTCATTTCTAAACAGTTATGGAAAAAAATTTTTTCTTTAGCCTTATTTTAGAAAAGGATGAATATAAATCGAGTGTTCAAATAACTCCTTGGAATTTCAAAAGAACGTATAATATAACTTTCAACATTCTTTTTTTTTAGAGAAAAAAGTTTTTTAACATAAAATACATCATGCTACTAAGACAACTGTTTGTAAATTCTCCTTAAATTCTTGATGTAAAAATAGAAAAATGATTTTAAAAAGTGTCCCATTGGATTAAATTTGATGATGATCTTCATTAGAAGTTTTCTAAATAAAGGTTTTACTCAGTGATGATAAAGGAAACATTAAAATAATGTTAATTTAAAACGGAAACCAATTAATAATGTTTTATTAACCTCATATAATTATTCCACTATTAAAAAAATAAATGGTACTTAACTTTATGAGATGATCTTTACAATCTTTTTTTTTTATAGAATTTAATTAATTTTTTTCCTTCTGAAATATGACGCAAGTGTTTTGTGTTAAAATTGAATGTTAAATAACAACTAAAACTAGAACTAACACTAAACCTAGAACTAGAAACATTCTGATTTAGCCGTGCGTCTTTTAAGACGGCTAAACTCAAATAATTCCTGTTCTATGTCTAGTGTGTTAGTTCTAGTTTTAGTTCAATGAAACATATATAACAATCTGGAGGTGAATAAAAACTAAAAATAGAGCTAACACTAGCACTAGAACTAACACTAGACCTAGAACTAGAATCATTCGGGTTTAGCCATGCGTCTCTTAAGACGGCTAAACCCGAATGATTCTAGTTCTAGGTCTAGTGTTAGTTCTACTTTTATTTTAATAAAAATATACAGCAATCTAGCTGAATAACAAGTAGAACTAGAACTAACACTCGATACTTGAACTCGATACGTTCCAGTTCTAGGTCTAGTGTTAGTTCTAGTTTTATACTATTACTAGCACTAAGACCTAGAACTAGAATCATTCGGGTTTAGCCGTCTTGAGAGACGTGCGGCTAAATCCGAATGTTTCTAGTTCTAGGTCTAGTGTTAGTTTTAGTATTGCACTAGCACTATCACTAGAACTAACACAAGACCTAGAACTAGAATCATTCGGGTTTAGCTGTCTTGAGAGACGTACAGCTAAAGCCGAATGATTCTAGTTCTAGGTCTAGTGTTGGTTCTAGTTTTACACTATTACTAGCACTAACACAAGGTGGTTAGCTGTCTTGAGAGACGTGTGGCTAAACCCGAATGATTCTAGTTCTAGATCTAGTGTTAGTTCTACTTTTATTTTAATAAAAATATAGAACAATCTAGCACTGAATAATACGTAAAACTAGAACTAACACTAGACGTAGAGCTAGAAAGCTTCGGGTTTCTTTCTTTTATTGAATTTATCCCATAAATAAATCAATCTGTTATGTATGTAGTCTTCTTTAATCATTTTTCGAGCCTTCCGCATGCAGTATCTGGGTTTCTATTAGCAGAATTTAGCCTACCGCCTGCAGTATCTGATCTTGTTTTAGCAGTATATACTCTTCTGCCTGCAGCATCTAGTCTGCTACAACCAGTGAGTTTACAAAGGACTAATAAGGTAGATTTAGTCTACCATTTGCAGTATTTACCATTCTAGTCTTGTTTTAGCAGTATTTAGCCTTCTACTAAGCACTAATCTAATTTTCTGTCAACATTATCTAATCCTATCTTAATGATATACACAGTCTATTTATCACTTTCTAGTCATCTTGGTGTAGATTGTTTTCTTCTGCCAGCAGTTTTCAACTAGTTTTCTATTACATAACTGGAAAATTCGTATCATGATTAATAAGCAAAACTTTTTGATCATTATTTTATAATCTTTATAATTAAACAAATTAAGACTTTGATTAAGAATTGGTCTGTTAGAAGAACTTTGCCAAGTGTCTCCTTTACAATAACGTACAACAATGATTTTTCAGTACGTTTCAGTACCTGCACATACTTGTTCAAATTGTTGTTTTTTAGATATTAGTATTTATCTTAAAAGTGATGAAATTCTCCATATTTCTCAAGAATTAAATAAAAAATGGAAAAAGTAAAAATTTTTTGTGAGAAACAACAAAAGACTTAATTTATTTTAATAAATAGACATGTTTCGAAACAAATGTTTCATCTTCAGTACTTAAAAATAATTACAAAATGATGGAAAAAAATTTTAAATATGTTGGGAATAGGTATGAATTTTAGTTATTTTTCTTAAATATTTTTCTTCTTTTTTTAGAAGTATTTTGTTTTTAAGAAAAATAACTAGAATTCAGACCTATTTCCAACATATTTAAAAAACTTTTCCATCATTTTGTAATTATTTTTAAGTACTGCAGATGAAACATGTCTATTTATTGAAATAAATTAAGTATTTTGTTGTTTCTCACAAAAAGTTTTTACTTTTTCCATTTTTTATAGTATTCATCTTCTTATCCTATTTATAACTATCATTCAAAATATTTATTATAATTTCCAATAATAACATAAAGTACATACTGAAATGTCTGAAGACGCACGGCTAAACTCGATACTTTCTAGTTCTAGGTCTAGTGTTAGTTCTAGTTTTACACTATTACTGGCACTAACACAAGACCTAGAACTAGAATCATTGGGCTTTAGCCGTCTTAAGAGACGTGCGGCTAAATCCGAATGTTTCTAGTTTTCGGTCTAGTGTTAGTTCTAGTTTTACACTATTACTAGCACTAACACAAGACATAGAACTAGAATCATTCGGATTTAGCCGCACGTGTCTCAAGACGGCTAAATCCGAATGTTTCTAGTTCTCGGTCTAGTGTTAGTTCTAGTATTGCACTAGCACTATCACTAAAACTAACACAAGACCTAGAACTAGAATCATTCTGGTTTAGCCGCACGTCTCTCAAGACGGCTAAACCCGAATGATTCTAGTTCTAGGTCTTGTGTTAGTTCTAGTGATAGTGCTACTTTTATTTTAAGTTTAATTTTAAGTTTCCGAATGTTTCTAGTTCTCGGTCTAGTGTTAGTTCTAGTTTTAGTCAAATTGAAGATGAGCAATCTATCGATGAAAAATAATTAAAACTACAACTACCCTTCTTGATTTATATATCGTATAGACAACTCGGGGAATACCCCCATTATCTATGAGGTTGGAATAGAGTTCAATAGAGCAATTGGGGGAATACCCCGAGTTGTACTATATCGAAATTTTACTTACTTACGTTGATTGGAATGAAATGAAGTGAAATGATTTAAAAAAAGGAAAATGTTAATTTTAATTATTAATGTAATTAATATTTTTTTAAATGTGACAAAGTGTTTTGTGTCAAAATCGAATGACTAAATAAAAGGAATATGAATAAAAGTAAAAAGATGATGGTGGAGTACGGCGGCGTCCTTCTTAATGGAAATAATAAAATTTGACTCGGGCAAAGCGTCACAATGCTCAATTATAAAGTAATTAGTCAGAAATCGCGCGCGAGTTCGCGGCCGAATCGATTTCTCTTTCTCTCCTCCTTGCTCACCTCTTCCATGGGACCCGTTTCGTTCGAAAACCCCCTTATCTTTATCTCCGTGCTTTTAATGCGAGAGGCTTCGCTCCTAAAATTAATCGAACTGCAGCAAACCCACAAACCGAAGTCGATATATCTGGGCGTACGGTCGGGGGCCGCCTCTGCGAGCTCCGCCCCACCGGCCGTATTAAAATACGTTTTGCATACCAATGATTTATTAGGGGTATAACCTTTTATTTTATTTTTTATTTTCGTTTTTTATCTTCTCGTTCCCTTAAGTAGTTAATAACCTCTAACTCGTTCTCTTACGTTTTCAGATATCGCGACCTCGCCCATCGAAACGGAGAAACCTTACGGTAAGTTTACAATAAAACTTTTTTTTTATTAACATTTAGTTTTAAATTAAAGTTAGAAGTCCTTCTCTCACTTATTGTCGTATTAAGAACTGTTTAATAATCATAAATCCGTCGTTAAATGATGATTACTTGACTATAAATAGAGGTGATTATGCTTAATATACATATATATTTTATTTTAACATTAAAACTAATCCTTGACATTCTATTAAATTTTAATGGATTTAATGGAAATTCTTAGGATTGGACAAAAAACGCTTTACTCATTGTTCCAAAAAAGCTTTTCTAGAAAAAGTAAAATCTTTCAAAACAATCCTTTTAGTTAAAAAGGAACGATTCTTTAAATAACTTTTTAAAGAATTCTTAAAAAACCCCTTCTGTCATAAATCAGAACACGATGGGGTTCTGCCCCCTGATAAAGAGGTACTCAATAAGGGTGACAAGTGTTTTGTAAATTCTTTCGCTAAGGGAACATAAAAAAAAGTATCGCGTCGTGCAGGCAACTGGTGTCTTGTAGCAAGTAGCATATCTTCTATGGGGCAAGGGTGTTTTACCCCGCGGCAAATGGGGGTGATCCAACAGGTTTAAATGCGCTTTTCATATCGCATATACATATCTCGTGGGGTTTTCGTCCCCCTTAGATTACTGGTAAACGCGTTGACAGAAACATGGATTTTATTCACCCCCAAGAACTAAAATAATATCAATTCGAATACGAAATATAACAACATTTTTATTCTAATTAATATAGACTTTCCCCCCGAAGAAATTCTCACCGCTTGTTTTACGAGCTTAATCTTTACTCGGATCGTAAAGTTTAAAAAAAAGGAATTTTTTTATTTAATTCAATAACTCGGTTGAATATTCATAGTGTGTTCGTTTTCTTTTTTTGTGTTCGTTGTAACGAACTGAGTTAATTTATTCGTCTGTGGGTTGTAAAAGTTTCAATTAAATTTTTCTTATTAAGAAAAGCTCTTCATATCACGATTCTTGATGTCACCAATTTAAAAATTCTCGTTAAAGGTGCCGCCGTAACGCGGTAGCAAAAATGCCCTCCAGGTACCACACCATCGAAACCGAGGAGAATCGCCCGAAAAACGAACCTCTACCTGGTGTGTGTAGCGAAACTCCGCCCAACTGACGCTGTACATATTTTAAAATGCATTAAGTTATAAAAGGGGGGCGCCAGCTGACCGTAATTTTGCGGCCTGGGACGAAACAAAAGAGGAAGTGAACAGGTATAAATTAAGGAACCTTCTTTTCTTCCGTTCTCTCGTTTTTTAAATTTTTTTTTCGCCCCTCGAAACCATCGAGGTGGTTTTATCTCTCGCAAATAGAAGACAACCGACGACGACGAGAAGAGTGAATGAACGTCTTCACTCTTCTTCTGCGAAGAAGAATGCCACAATGGTGATGCCACGCAGAACCTTCTATGGCCACCGGGAGGAGGTAAAAACTCGAAGATATTCCGCATCTTTCGTTGTCGTCGTTTAACTTCGCGGTTTTCCCTTCGCGTCTCACTCACAACATGAGAACGACCTTGAGCAAAACGCGGTGATATATTTATGTTGTTTACTTCTTTAGTCGTTCATTTAAAGTTCTTGGTGACTCGATTCAATGGTATTAACTTATTGAATATGTTGTTACTTTATAAAAGACTTTTACTTGTTTTTGTTACTCACTACGTTTTAATTTCACTCTTTTAAAACTGATTTCCTTCGCATTTTGTTCCAATTAAAGCAAATTTAATAATGATATCACATTTTTAATTGGAATTTACATAGTTTTAGAAAATTTCGTGTACTTTTTGATTTTATTTCTAGTTTATTAATGATTTCGTATTTTTTATCGAATTCTACACACCTTTTACTATAATTACTAAAAATTTCATAATTCCAAATCAATTTATAACAAAGCTATGGATTTTTCTATTCTTAAAAATCGAATTTTTTGTTGTTCTAGATTAAATTTAAATAATTTAAATGAAACAATACGATGTTCGATAAAACTTCTTTCTTGTTATATTTATTAAATTCCTCGCTACCAGTTTCAACCTAATTTTTTAGGTCATCATCAGCCGAATCTACATGACCAAGAAATCACAATTACAAACATTCTTTAAATAAGTTATCCCATACAAAGACAAAAAATAATAAACAATTCTTAATTAGAATTTTAACTTACGTTCAAATAAAAGTCTTTATAAAAAGGAGACACGAAATACACAATTAAACATTTTAAAAAATATAAGTTATAATGTATCAAAATTTACACACATTATAAAAATGAGAACTCTGCAAAACTGAACATACATTGGACGAAGCAAGATCTAAACTGCTTTATAATAAAATCTCTGTTATAAAACAAACAGGTTTCGCAAGAAAATTTAACAGACATAAATAACCTTTTACCAAAAAATATACAAAGAAAACGAAGCCACAGAAAACCAAAAGAAATTTATATTTTACTTAGGTGACTAACCAAAGGTGTAAATTTAATATCCAATTGCTCATTGATAAGTTAATATTTGTTGTTTTTAGTATTTGTTAATTTCTAGAGCTTCCTTTCTTTTGTTTTTTAGTATTTTTTTTTTTCAATAAATTTCGTGATTCCAATTCAATTTTTTTAAAAGTTACGATTTTCTTAATCCCAAATAGCTTAGTTTTAGGTACTTTTTGACAACTTGTAACTATTTTATTTCAACTTTATTAATGATTTCGCATTTTTTATCAAAATCTACACACTTTTTGCTATAATTACTAAAAATTTCATAATTCCAAATTAATTTATAACGAAATTATGAATTTTTATATTCTTAAAAATTATTTTTTTTGTTATTCTTGAACACATCTTACTTTCATGGTCCAGGACAATGTTAATTGAAATTTTTAAATTGTGTCGTATTTTTTATTTAAATCTACAATCGTTTTAGTGTAACTCATAAAAATTTCGTTGTTTCAAATTAATATTTAAAAAAGATATGACTTTTTATAACCTCTTAAACCTTCATTTTTGATGATTTTGGATACTATTTGATTTGATCACCTATAACAGCACCATCTCAAATTTGGTAACAATGTCTTAATTTTGATTAGAATCTGCACACTTTTTAATATAATTTCAATTAATGTCGTGATTCCAACTCGATTTTTTAAAAAGTTACGATTTTCTTAATATAAAATAGCTTAGTTTTAAGTACTTTTCGATTTGACAACTTGTAACTTTTTTATTTCAACTTTATTAATGATTTCGAATTTTTTATCGAAATCTACACACTTTTTACTGTAATTACTAAAAATTTTATAGTTCCAAATCGATTTATAACGAAATTATGAATGTTTCTATTCTTAAACATCAAATTTTTGTTATTCTTCAACACTTCTTACTTTCATCACCCAGAACAATTTTATTTAAATTTTTTAAATTCTGTCATATTTTTTATTTAAATCTACAATCTTTTTGGTGTAACTCATAAAAATTTCGCTGTTTCAAATTGATATTTAAAAAAGATATGAATTTTTATAACCTCTTAAACCTTAATTTTTGGTGATTTTGGATACTATTTGATTTGATCACTTATAACAGCACGATCTCAAATTTGGTAACAATTTCTTAATTTTGATTAGAATCTGCACACTTTTTAATATAATTTCAATTAATTTCGTGATTCCAACTCGATTTTTTAAAAAGTTACGATTTTCTTAATCCCAAATAGCTTAGTTTTAGGTACTTTTCGATTTGACAACTTGTAACTTTTTTATTTCTACTTTATTAATGATTTCGCATTTTTTATCGTAATCTACACACTTTTTGCTATAATCACTAAAAATTTTATAATTCCAAATCAATTTATAACGACATTATGAATGTTTCTATTCTTAAACATCAAATTTTTTGTTGTTCTTCAATACTTCTTAATTTCATCACCCAGAACAATTTTATTTCAACTTTTTAAATTGTATCTTATGTTTTATTTTAATCTACAATCTTTTTAGTGTAATTCATCAAAATTTCGTTGTTTCAAATTGATATTTAAAAAAGTTATGAATTTTTATCACCTCTTAAACCTTCATTTTTAGTAATTTCGGATACTATTTGATTTGATCACCTATAACAGCACCATCTCAAATTTGGTAATAATTTTTTAATTTCGATTAAAATCTGCACACTTTTTGATACAATTTCAATTAATTTCGTGATTCCAACTCGATTTTTTAAAAAGTTACGATTTCCTTAATCCCAAATAGCTTAGTTTTAGGTACTTTTCGATTTGACAACTTGTAACTTTTTTATTTCAACTTTATTAATGATTTCGCATTTTTTATCGAAATCTATACACTTTTTACTACAATTACTGAAAATTTCATAATTCCAAATCAATTTATAACGAAATTATCAATGTTTCTATTCTTAAAAATCAAATTTTTTGTTGTTCTTCAATACTTCTTACTTTCATCACCCAGAACAAATGTATTTCAATTTTTTAAATTGTGTGGTGTATTTTATTCAAATCTACAATCTTTTTAGTGTAACTCATAAAAATTTAGTTGTTTCTGCACACTTTTTAATACAATTTCAATAAATTTCGAGATTCCAATTCGATTTTTTTTTAATTACGTTTTTCTTAATCTCAAATAGTAAGACTTGTAACATTTTTATTTCAAATTTATTAATGATTTCTCATTTTTTATCGAAATCTCTCACAAATTCATCTCAAAATTTACATAAATAACATAATGGTTGTAATTTTTTACAGATATACTGAATTCACCCTATATTTTTGCTATTAAGTAATATTTTTTGGCAAGATGTTGTAGAACGTTATATCTTGAGATATAGCCGGAGGGTATGGTTTCTTTTTTTACCTGGGGCTAATGAATACCGCCCTCAACTACCTGTGCAACTCGCAGAACCTTGGCAGAGCGGCGCCAAATTTCTACAAATCATCCAGAAGAGACCACAGCCGTTCCGAATCCATGGGAACAATACATCAAAGTAGC